ATGGCCTAATCCACTTGACCACCTCCAGGTGTTGACCCTGGCCCAAACCCATTCTTTGCTTGACTGCTTCCAGCTTATCACCTGGCCTCCCCACCACCCCCCCCAAAAAAAAAAAAAAAAAAAATCCCCCAATCACCTCATTTAGGTCACTGCTCCTGGCTGTTCACCCGGGCCCCTACCCACTAGCCTTTTTCCTGCTTAAGTCACCTTTTTGGGCTGCTCACCTGGCCCCTCCCCCTTGTTGACGTGACCACCTCCAGCCGCTCACCTGGCTCCGCTCCCTCGTTGACTTGACTGCATTCAGCTGTGAACCAGGGCCCACCCCCTTGTTCCAGAATTCCTGCCCCCTTGTTCATTTGAGCAATGATCGCTCAGCACTGGCCAGGCTGCCCTGCTGCTCACACACAGGAGTGTACCTCCCCACCTCTGGAAGTGGTGTTAGGTACCTAAAACCCCCAATTCCAGATGGCCTTCTGCTCACAGTTTGACTCCCACCCAGGGGCCAGGTCCACAAGCATGGGGAGACCAGCCCCTTTTTTAGGACAGCCATGGGCCTCCATGAGCCTTGAGGGCCACCCATCCCCTCCACCATGGGGCATCTTACAACAGAGTGTCCTGTGACCCCCACAGCCTTGTCTATGGGCTTTCACAATGGGAAGAGAGCTGTGTCAATTCCCCGAAAATCCCTTTCTACTCTGGGAGCACTGCCCTGCCCCCTCCAAAGGTATTTACTGGTTGCTGGGCCCTGAGGGCCAGCTTTCTGCCCCACTCGTGGGGAATGCCCTTTCTGGAGGACAAGTGACTTTTTTGCTGGCATCCGGTCTGGACCACAGGAAGTTGGGCTTTTGCAGCCACTTGTGATACTCATCCTCATTCACAGGGCCCCATGGTCTTATCCACTCGTCCACCTCCAGCTGTTGACCAGGCCCCAACCCATTCTTCACTTGACCTCTTCCAGCTGATCATCTGGCCCCATCCCCTTGTTTAGGTAGCTGCTACAGCTCTTCACCCGTGTCCCTACCCACCAGCCATCCTTCTGCTTATGTTACCACTTCTGGCTGTTTACCAGGCCCCTCTCCCTTATTGACGTAACTATCTCCAGCTGTGCACCTGGACCCTCACTCTTGTTGACTGGGTGTACTTCTCAATTGGTAGGCAAGACCACTATTTCCATAATCCAGAGGTCCAGGTGAGGTACTAGACCTCCCCCAGAGGCCCAGACGACCCTCCCTGGCTCCAAAGGTTCTCCCAGAACCTAGACATCAGTCTGGGGTCCAGACCTGCCTTCTGATCACAGACCATAATGGCGAGGATCAGAAGGCCATTCCTGGGACCCATACTAGCATCCAGTGCCTATTCCTTAATCTGAGGCCAAATATCCAGGCTAGTCCGGACCACCATTTCATCATCCCTAGGTCTTGCCTTTGCCCAGAACTACACACCTGCACCCATAGTACCCCCTAGGGACCTCACCATGCCTGAGCACCAAGACCTACATCCGGGGCTCAGACATACCTACCCTGTTTCCCCGAAAATAAGACAGTGTCTTATATTAATTTTTGCTCCCAAAAATGCGCTAGGTCTTATTTTCAGGGGATGTCTTATTTTTCCATGAAGAAGAATACGGTACACATTTATTGTTAAATGAAAATAAAGGAAATTTATTACCTGTATACGGTAAGGTAGTTCGGTAGTTGTCAACACAAACTAGACAAACTGTGAATCCTACAGTATCAAGAATTTACTCATTTATTCAATGACAATCATGTCATCATCTTCTGGAACATCATCATAACAAACCAATTCCTGGATTTCCTGGTGAATTTCTTGTGACTCCATTTCTTTCAGAATCAGTGGACCAAATCTCTCATGTTTAGCCTACTGGGGTCTTATTTTTGGGGGGATGCCTTATATTTCACCAAGAAGGAAACCTGTAAGTAGGTCTTATTTTTGGAGGATGTCTTATTTTCGGGGAAACATGAGGGTCCCCAACCTTCATGGCAGGGCCTAATTGGCCCACACGGGGCCAAGGCCACAAACAGGAACACAGAGTTGTATCAGGGAAAGAGAACTCTATGTGTAATCCAAACAACTATTCCATAACCCAGATGCTCAGGAGAAGTACCAGACAGGCCCTGAGGCTCAGAATTTCCTCCAGGCCTGAACTGCCCTAAAAAAGACCCAGACCTGCCAAAACCGGTTTAGCTCAATAGATAGAGCGTCGGCCTGCAGATTGAAAGGTCCCGGGTTCAATTCCGGTCAAGGGCATGTACCTTGGTTGCGGGCACATCCCCAGTAGGGGGTGTGCAAGAGGCAGCTGATCGATATATCTCTCTCATCGATGTTTCTAACTCTCTATCCCTCTCTCTTCCTCTCGGTAAGAAAAATCAATAATATATATATATATATATATATATATATATATATATATATATATATAATTTCTCTAAAAAAAATAAAAAATAAATAAAAAATTAAAAAAAAGACCCAGACCTGCACGTGGGGCTCATACCTACACCTAGGAACCAGATTTTCATGGTGGGGCACAGGCCTCGTATACAGATTCCAGACTTGTATCCTGGGAATACTTCTCAATTTGTAAGCAAGACCACCATTTCCATAATCCAGAGGTTCAGGTGAGGTACCAGACCAGCCCCAGGGGCCTAGATAACCCTCCCTGCCCCCAAAGGCCCTCCCAGGACTCATATATCTGTCTGGGGCCCAGACCTACCTCCTGGTCACAGACCATTATGGCAAGGACCAGAAGGCCATTTCTGGGACCTATACTAGCAGCCAGTGCCTATTCCTTAATTAGAGGCCAAATTACCATGCTAGTCAGGACCACCATTTCACCATCCCAAGTTCTGTCCTTGCCCTGAACCCCACATCTGGGCCCATAGCAACCCTAGTGACCACACAATGCCTGTGCACCATACCTACATCCAGGGCTCAGACAGACCTGCATCAGGATCCCAGACCTTCATGGCAAGGCCTAATTGGCCTGCCTGGGGCCCAGGCAACAAACCTGGGACACAGAGTTGTATCAAGGGAAGATATCTCTATGTGTAATCCAAACAACTATTTCATAACCCAGATGCTCAGGTGAGGTACCAGACAGCCCTGGAGGCTCAGAATTTCCTCAGGGCCCGAACTGCCCTAAGAGGACCCAGATCTCCACCTGGGGCTCACACCTACACCTGGGACCCAGATTTTCCATATACAGATTCCAGACTTGTATTCTGAGTGTACTTCTCAATTTGTAAGCAAGACCACCATTTCCATAATCCAGAGGTCCAGGTGAGGTACCGGACCGCCCCTAGAGGCCCATTTGACCCTCCCTGGCCCCAAAGGATCTCCCAGGACCCAGACATCCATCCGGGCCCCAAATCTACCTCTTGGTCGCAGACCATTATGGCAAGGACCAGAAGGCCATTCCTGGGACCCATATTAGCAACCAGTTCCTATTCCTTAATTGGAGGCCAAATATCCAGGCTAGTATGGACCACCATTTAATCATCCCAAGGTCCTGCCCTTGCCCCGAACCTTGCCCCGAACCCATAGCGCCCCCTAGTGACCACACCATGCCTACCACCCAGCCTAATTCGGGGGCTCAGGCATACCTACATCTGGGTCCCAGACCTTCATGGTGGGGCCTAATTGGCCCACTCAGGGCCCAGGCCACAAACCTGGAATACAGAGTTGTATCAAGGGAGTATATCTCTATGTGTAACCCCAACAACTATTCCTTACCAAGATGTTCAGGTGAGGTACCAGAGCGTTCCCGGGCCTCTGACTTCCCTCTGGGCCCAAATTGGCCTCACAGGACCCAGACCTCCTCCTGGGGCTCACACCTACATCCAGGAATCAGACTATTATAGTGGGGCAGAAGAAATTATCCAGGGGCCAAGGCTTCAAACATAGAATCCAGACTTGTATCCTGGGTGTACTTCTCAATTTGTAACCCAGACCACCATTACCATAACCCAGATGCACAAGTGAGGTACCAGACCGCCCCCCAGGATCCCAGAAGTCCCTCTGTGGCCCAAAAGGCCCACCCAATACCCAGACCTCTGTCTGGATTGGAGACCTACCTCCTGGTCGCAGACTATTATGGCGAGGAACGGAAGGCCATTTTGGGGAATCATACTAGAAGCTAGGGCCTATTCCTTAAATGGAGTCCAAATAACCAGGCTAGTCCTGACCACCATTTCATCATCCCAAGGCCCTGCCATTGCCCCAAACCTCCCACCTGGGCCCATTGCGCCCCCTAATAGCCACACCATGCCTGAGCACCCAGACCTACATCTGGGTCCCAGACCTTCATGGTGGGGCCTTATAGGCCCACCTGGGGCTCAGGCCACAAACCTGGAACAGAGTTGTATCAGTGGACTCGATCTCTATGCGTAACCCCAACAACTATTCCTTTTTTTTTTTTTTTTAATGCAACAGCTCACTTTTATTAACAGCATACATAATCTAGAGAAATCCCCAAGTAGTCCCTGTCCTGGAGCAGGCGCAAACCCTGGAGCACAGAATGAAAACTGACGGAACAAGCCCTTCCCATTCCTTTCCTGCCCCCCAGGGCCTCTGACATCATCAGGGACCCGCAGGTGTTTCCAGGGACTTCAGACTCCGCAACTTGGCAGCAGAGGCCAGTGACTGCGCTCCCAGGGGCTGGCCAACCTCTCTCAGAGGGCTTGGCTCTGAGAGCACGTTAGTCCTCAGGCGGAGGTCCTGGCTGGCACCAGGCCAGGGGCAAACCCGGAGCTCGTGTGCCACACCTGACCGTACTGGCCGCATGAAAGCCAGTTCCCCTTAGCCTCAGTGAGCTGGTCTGAGAAATTGGACCAGCACACCCAGGCAAGAAGGGCATCTCTAGGAAGCCAGAGGTGAAAGCCCAGCTCCTCCGGCCCCAGGAGCGTGAGCCTTCCAGGGAGCATGCCACCCCCACCCACTCAGCCACTCCTGCCGGGTCCGAGCCCCCCATCTGTCCACTTCCACATTCTAGGGCTGTGGGTAGTGCTCTTTGGCTGGAAGTGAAGGGTATTCTGGCGGTATCCAGGCCTGTCTGCTGAGCTCAAGGCCTCCCTGGGGCGGGTGTGGGTGACAATGTTCCCGGCCCAGGGCCACCCCATCCAACAGTGGTGCTCCCCACCTCCTCAGGGGGCCCCCTTTAGGACCACGCTAGGGAGGACAGACATAGGAGCAATGCAGACACGGAGGTTCATTGGCACGGAACTGCAAAATCCTAGCCGCTTCCTTTGGAAGCACGGACCATGGGCACACGGGATGCCCGTGGGCAGTCTCCGCCTGCTGAGCAGGTAGGCAGGTCTGGACTCATTGGCCGCTGGCTGCTCCTTCGCTCTCTCTCTGGCCTCGGGGAATCTCTGGTTCTTTGGGTGTGGAGGGCTCTCCAGAGACGGGTTGGGGTGATGGGCGGGCGCAGGGCAGGAGCAGAGCCAGTGAGGAGAGGAAGAGGCACTTCAGTTTGGGCTGGTGTTCGTGGAGTCGACCCTGGCCCTGGGTTGATGGCTGCCCGCTCCGTGCTGGCTGCCACAGACCCCGGTGGCGGTGGACAGGTAGGCACTTGGCAGTACTTCCAGGGCCGGGGGCTCTGCGTGGCTCCACGCAGCTAGGTCATCAGGATGGGCTTCTGCAGGACTTCCAGGATGTCTGTTAGGATCTGATGCAGCGACAATGTGACGTCGGTTAGGTGTGCATAGAGAAGGAAGTTTCCATCCACTCTGTTCAGCTTCAGCCAGAACTCGATCAGGGACCGCCCCATGCTAGACAGGGACCACGACCGCAGGTTGGTGGCATTGTGCAGGTCCGCTGCATCATCGTCCTCCCAAAAGAACTCCTTGCTGTCCTTCTTCATCTCGGCGCCTTGCAGGGCACCTTCCTCTTGAGGGACGGGGAGAAAAATGTGGGACAGTTGTTCTGCTCCGAGGTCAGGGTTGTACTGAAAAAGGCCATCCACTCGTGAATGGGCGAAGCCGGGCTGGAGTCCTCCTCCGTCCTGCAGGGAGACGTGTCACCAGTGGACACACAGCTCACCACCCTCTCCGCGTGGCCCTTGCCCGTTCATACGCACGAACTCCATGTTGTTGTACTTGTAGAAGCTGAAAAACATCTGCGCCATGCGGGCGGCCACACTCACCCGGCTGTCGTGCACCTTCTAGAGCGCCTCGTAGTGGATGGAGCCCTGGAAGATGACCCCTTGGAACATGTTGGTTTTGTCACTGGCCACCAGCTCCACAGACACCATCTCTCCCTCCCTCACAGTCATGTCGCTGAACACCTCCTCGAAGCTGTCAATCATGAAGATGTTGGCAAAGCTCATCTTAGACTCCTCCCCCTTGCTCTCCATGGGGTGTTTGCTGGTGATGCAAACACTTGCTGAAAGGAAGGAGATTGAAGGGCGCAGTGAGGCCTCACACCCAGGTGGAGCGTGGAGTCTAAAACACACACCTCTTCCAGCACCTGGGAGGCAGGGCTACGATGCCTGGTGGGGCAGCGGGAGGCCTGGGCTCCGGTCGGTGGCTCACCAGGGACTCCTTCTTATGGATGTGGATGTCGCCCCCCTCAAAGCGCGTGCACACGGCACAGGTGACCATGTAGTCCAGCTTCTGGAAGATGAGGTTCAGGCAGATGCTTTCCTCCCAGTCAATGTCAGGGTCCCCTAAGCCTGGCAGCTTCTTGGAGTCATGTCTCCCCCCGTCCCCGCCACCTCCGGTACACCTCCACCTCAGGCTCGGCCTCTGGCAGCTTCCTCCAGTCAACCCCGCTCTCGGAGTCCGCAAACGCCAGCTTCCAGCACAGGTAGAAGAGCATGTCGTCCTGCCAAGGCGCCCATTTCTCCATGAAGAAGGTGGAGAACATCCACATCCAGAAGGCGATGCAGGCATCCTTCAAGCACCCTAAGCCACCGACCTCATGGCGCACAGCAGGCGCTGCAGTGAGCACTCCTAGGCCTAGGCCACAGCACTGCCTGCAGGCTCGAGGCGGGTGGTGGCGGGCAGGACAGGTGGCCTGACCCAGAGCCCCGAGAGCGAAGGCGCCAAGGCGCAGGTGCACCCCAGTGGCCACATAGAGGCTTCAGCTCATCGCCTGCACCGGGCCCAGTGGGACACCCCGCGTGTCCCGCCGCCCCCGCCCCTGAGCCGCCCTCCTCAAGCACCAGAGAAGCCACAACCACCATTGTCCCAACAACTATTCTTTAACCAAGATGCTCAGGTAAGGTACCAGAGCGTTCCCGGGGTTCAGACTTTCCTCCGGGCCGAACTGTCCTCACAGGGCCCACACCTCCACTTGGGGCTCACACCTACATCAGGGACTGAGATTATCATGGTGGGCCAAGAAGATTTTCCCGGATCCCAGGCCTCAAACACAGAATCCAGACTTGTACCCTGGGTGTACTTCTCAATTTGTAACCCAGACCACCATTTCCATAACCCAGAGGTCCAGGGTAGGTACCAGACCGCCAGCCAGGGGCCCAGACGGCCCTCCCTGGCCCCAAAAAGCCTCCCAGGTCCCTGACCTCCGTACTGGGCCGAGACCTACCTCCTGGTCACAGACCATTATGGCGAGGAACAGAAGGCCATTTCGGGGAACTATACTAGAAGCTAGGGCCTATTCCTTAAATGGAGTACAAATAACCAGGCTAGTCCTGACCACCATTTCATCATCCTGAGCTCCGGCCCTTGTTCCTAAACCTCCTACCTGCATCCACAGCGCCCCTTGTGGCCACACCATGCATGAGCACCCAGCCCTACAACCTGGGCTCAGACCTACAGGCAGGTCCCAGACCTTCCTGGCGGGGCCTAATAGGCCCAGCTGGGGACCAGGCCACAAACCTGGAACAGAGTTGTATCAGGGGACTAGATCGCTATGTGTAACCCCAACAACTATTCCTTAACCAAGATGTTCAGGTGAGGTACCATAGCATACCCGGGCCTCAGACTTCTCTCCAGGAAATAAATGACCAAACAGGACCCAGACATCCATCTGGGGCTCACACGTACATCCAGGACCCAGATTATCATGGTGGGGCAGAGAAATTTACAACAGGGCCCAGGCCTCAAACACAGAATCCAGACTTGTATTCTGGTGTACTCAATTTTTAACCCAGACCACCATTTCCATAACCCAGAGGTCCAGGTGAGGTACCAGACTGACCCCCAGGAGCCCAAAAGTCACTCCTTGGCCAAAAAGGTGCTCCCAACACCCAGACCTCTGTCCGTGGCCGAGACCTACCTCCTGGTCGCAGACCATTATGGGGAGGAACAGAAGGCCATTTCAGGAAACCATACTAGAAGCCAGGGCCTATTCCTTTTTTTTTTTTTTTTTTTTTTAGGGCTGTGTGTTGTTTTACCTTTTGGCTTTCTAAGGCGTCCCACTCTGCAGGCTCTTATAACGGGGAGAGGTATCTCCACAGCCTGGCCTATCAGCCTTCTCCCCAAACCCCCCAGCTCCAGCTTCTGTCTCTACCTGTCCACCAGGGGCCTCTGGCTGGAGAAGCTCCGCTTGGCCAGCTCCTTCTTCTCCCTGAGGTTGGTCAGGTGGGAGCCGGGCTCGGGCCCGGAGCCATCCTTCTCGCTAAAGTCGCTGCTCTCGGAGGCCGCCTCCCACTCCTCCTCGGTGTGGTCCCAGGAGTTCTGGTAGGAGAGCTCGGGGGACCTGCGGCCCGCGGCGCCACTCCTGTCCCCTGGACAGAGCTTGGGCCTGGCTGGCCACTGACCCGCCAGCAGGTGGGGCTCCTCCTCGGGCCCCCACAGACACAGGGAGTCGCGCTCTTGCCAGAGACGCCGGAAGTGTGGAGGCTTGTCCTGGCGCGGGGGCGCCTCAGCCGGAAGGGCCGGTTCTCCACGCTCTCGGCATCGGCCCCGAGGTCTTATGGCAAGAAGGCCCTCTTGTCCTCCAGGCGGCCGTCCTCGCAGCCCCTGGAGCCCAGCGCGTCCGAGTGCCGGGCGGCCTCGGGACACAGTCCCAGTCGGGGGCCGCCGGGGCCGCTCGGGGGGCCGTGGTCCTGCCAGCAGGCGCCGGCACTGCGGCCCTGCCAGTGGGCAGCCTGTCTGGACAGGGAGGCCCTCCGCCCGTAGCCGCAGTTGCTCAGCCGGGGAGGGGGGGCGCGTCCGAAGGCCCTTGAGCCCCTGCTGTTCGCCTTCAGACCGCAGTGGCCGTCAGGGTACATCCTGTGGGACCGACAGGCCCTGAAGTCGCTTTTCCTGGAGGCGACCTCCTCCCTGTCCAGGGGCGAGCCTTCGTGGCCTCTGCCGCCGCCGCTTGGGCAGCTCTTGGTCCGCGGAGCCCTCGTTGTCGGGGCTTGGCGCGGGGAAGTCCTCGGGCAGCCCTCGCCCCCAGGACTCCCCCCACCCCTCCGCACCCCCTGCCGCCGCAGATGCTGGGGCCACCGCCAGCGGGCTGGCCACGGAAGGTGAATTCTTGGGACCCGCGGCCGCTGCGGCTCCGGGCCTGACCTCGGCCCCCGAAGGCTTGCTCTTCCTTGATGAAGATCCAGTTGTTCTCTGGGTCAGCGGCATGTCGCAGGGCTCCCGGGCAGGCCTGGCTTCCCAGCCCCTGTTGGGCTCCTCCTCTTCAGACTTGCTGGCAAAGCGGCCCCCACCATCTCAGGCCGAGGGCCTATTCCTTAAATAGAGTTCAAATAAGCAGGCTAGTCCTGACGACCATTTCATCATCCTGAGCTCCTGCCCTTGTCCCTAACTTCACACCTGGGCCCATAGCGCCCCCTAGTGGCCACACCATGCGTGAGCACCCAGACCTACATCCAGGCCTCAGACCTACCTATATCCGGGTCCCAGACCTTCATGGCGGGGCCTAATAAGCCCACCTGGGGTCCAGGCCACAAACCTGGAACACAAGAGTTGTATCAGGGGACTAGATCTCTATGTGTAACCCCAACAACTATTCCTTAACCAAGATGTTAGGTGAAGTACCAGAGAGTCCCCAGGGCTAAGACTTCCCTCCAGAGATGAACTGCCCTCACAGGACCCAGACCTCCACCTGATGCTCACACCTACATCAGGGACCCAGACTATCATGGTGGGGCAGAGAAATTTACAACAGGGCCCAAGCCTCAAACACAGAATCCAGACTTGTATCCTGGTGTATTTCTCAATTTGTAACCCAGACCACCAATTCTATAACACAGATGTCCAGGTGAGGTACCAGGCCCCCCTCCCCCCGGAAGTCCAGAAGTCCCTCCCTGGCCGGGAAAGCCCTCCCAGAACCCAGACCTCCAACCGAGGCCCAGACTTAACTCCTGGTCCCAGACCATTATCACAAGGACCAGAAGGCCATTTTGGGGAAGCATACTAGAAGCCAGGATCTATTCCTTAATTGGAGTCCAAATAACCAGGCTAGTCCTGACCACCATTTCATCATCCCGAGGTCCTGCCCTTGCCCCAAACCCATGGTGCCCTGTAGTGGCCACACTATGCCTAAGTATGCAGACCTACATCCAAGGCTCAGACATACATCCAGGTCCCAGACCTTTATGACCAGGCCTGATAGGCCCACCCGGGGCCCAGGCCACAAACCTGGAACACAGAGTTGTATCAGGGGACTAGATCTCTATGCTTAACCCCAACTACTATTCCATAACCGAGATGTTCAGGTGAGGTACCAGACCGAACCCAGGGCTCAGACTTCCCTCTGGGCCTGAACTGCTCTCACAGGACCCAGACCTCCACCTGCATCCTGGACACCTGTGTCCTAGACTCACTCTAGTGGTTTTATAGTCATTTTTAATATGCATTTTCTCTATTTCAAGGATATTCTGCATTGTAAAAAACCATTTCTATACGATATACTGACATTGAGATTTTTTTCTATTTGTTCTCTAACAATTCTGTCTGTTTTACAGATCTTACCTCTGAATTATTAGTGGTTTCTTGTCATGTCCTATAATTGGCCTAACGCTCTACTAATGGGACTTCCCCACATTGTATGATCCCCTTTCTACACTCTTCTCTTAACTTGAGAGGCTCTTTCACTTGCCTCTCAACTATGCCTTAAAGTTTAATGCTACTTTTCAATGAATTCTAGTGGTTTTATAGACAGTTTTAATATGCATTTTCTCTATGGGACACAATGAAAGCAGTCCTGAGAGGGAAGTTTATAGCTCTACAGGCCTAACTCAAAAAACAAGGAAAAATTATAGTAAATCTAACTCAACAACTCAAAGAAAGAAAGAGAGCAACAAGAGAAGCCCAGAGTGAGCAGAAGGATTGAGATAATAAAGATCAGAGCAGAAATAAATGACATAGAGACCAAAATAACATTACAAAACATCAACAAAGCCAAGAGCTGGTTCTTTGAAAGGATAAACAAGATTGATAAACCTCTAGCCAGGCTCACCAAGAAGCAAAGAGAGAGGACTCAAATAAACAAAATCAGAAATGTAAGAAGCAAAATAACAACAGACCCCACAGATTGTTTAAAAAAAAAAAATACTATGAGCTGCCGAAACCGGTTTGGCTCAGTGGATAGAGCATCGGCCTGTGGACCTAAAGATCCCAGGTTCGATTCCGGGCAAGGGCATGTACCTTGGCTGTGGGCACATCCCCAGTAAGGGGTGTGCAAGAGGCAGCTGATCAATATTTCCCTCTCATTGATGTTTCTAGCTCTCTATCACTCGCCCTTCTTCTCTGTAAAAAATCAATAAAATATTTTTTTAAGATTTAAATAAAAATACTATGAGCAACTCTACTCCAACAAACTAAACATCCTAGAGGAAATGGACATATTTCTAGAAAAAAAATACAATCTTCCGAAACTCTATTGAGAAGATTCTAAAAATCTCAACAGGCCAATTAAATATGAAAGAAATTGAAAGAGTCATAGCAAATAAAAGCTCTCAGCAAATAAAAGCCTGGGTCCAGACTGCTTCACAGGGGAGTTTTACCAAACATTCAAGGAAGAATTAAAACATATCCTCCTCAGACTATTCAAAAAAATTTCAAGAGGAAGGAACACTCCCAAGCTCCTTCTATGAAGCCACCATCACCCTTATACCAAAACCAGATAAAGGCAATACAATGAAAGAGAATTACAGGCCAATATCTCTCATGAACATATTGTAGATACCAAAATACTCAACCAAATTTTAGCAAATCAGATCCAGCAGTACATCAGAAAGATCATACACCATGACCAGATGGGATTTATCCCAAGGATGCAAGGATTGTAAAATGTCCACAAATCAATAAATGTGATACAGCACATAATTAAATTGAAAGATAAAAATCATATAATCAGCTGAAACCAGATTGGCTCAGTGGATAGAGCATTGGCCTGCGGACTGAAAGGTCCCAGGTTCAATTCCGGTCAAGGGCATGTACCTTGGTTGCAGGCACATCCCCAGTAGGGGATGTGCAAGAGGCAGCTGATTGATGATTCTCTCTCATCAATGTTTCTAACTCTCTATCCCTCTCTCTTCCTCTCTGTAAAAAATCAATAAAATATATATTTTTAAAATCACATAATCATATCAATTGATGAGAAAAAGCATTTGACAAAATCCAACACCGCTTCTTGATCAAAACACTAAGCGAGGTGAGAATAGAAGGATCATACCTCAACATAATACCCTGTTTCCCTGAAAATAAGACAGTGTCTTATATTAATTTTTTCTCCCAAAGTTGCGCTAGGTCTTATTTTCAGGGGATGTCTTATCTTCCATGTGCTAGGTCTTATTTTTGGAAGATGTCTTATTTGGGGGGAAACACAGGTAAAAGCCATAAATGAAAACCCTAAAGACTACATCAAAAAATTATTAGATTTAGTAAATGAATTTGGCATTGTAGCAGGATACAAAATTAATGCCAAGAAATCCATGGTATTTCTTTACAACAATAGTGAAATTACAGAAAGAGAGACCAAAAAAGCAATCCCATTTACCATCACAACAAAAAAACTAAGATACCTAGGAATAAACAAAACTAAGGAGCTAAAAGATCTATATGCAAAAAACTACTGGACACTGAAAAAGAGATAGAAGAACATATCGTGTTCATGGACTGGTAGAATCAATATATTAATAATCAAAATGATTATACTACCCAAAGCAATCTACAGATTCAATGCAATCCTCGTTAAAATACAAATGGCATATTTCACAGACCTAGAAAGAAATTTCCAAAAATTCATCTGGAATAAAAAAAGACCCCAAATAGCCACAGCAATCCTGAGAAAGAAGAATAAAGTAGGTGGTATCTCAATACCAGATTTCAAGCTGTATTACAAAGCCACTCTTCACAAAACAGCCTGGTACTGGCACAAGAACAGCATATAGACAAATGGAATAAAATAGAGAACCCAGATACTGACCCAAACCACTATGCTTAATTAATATTTGACAAATAAGGTATGACCATACAATGGAGTCAAGACAGTCTCTTCAATAAATGGTGTTGGCAAAATTGGAAAGATACATGAAAAAAAATGAAAATAGACCACCAACTTACACCATACACAAAAATAAACTGAAAACGGATAAAGGACTTAAACATAAGAAGGGAAACCAAATAATAATAATAATAATAAGAAGAAGAAGAAGAAGAAGAAGAAGAAGAAGAAGAAGAAGAATCCACAGGCAGACAAATCTCGGACATATGCCTAAGCAATTTCTTCACTGATACCTCTCCTAGGGCAATGAAAACTAAAAAGAAAATAAACAAATGGGACTACATAAAAATAAAAAGCTTTTACACAGCAAAAGAAACCATCAACAAAACAACAAGAGAGGTCACTTCATAGGAGAACATATTTGCCAATGATATCAACGGTAAAGATTTAATCTCCAACATTTACAGGGAACTCATACAACTTAACAAAAAGAAGATATAAACAATCCAATTAAGAAATGGGCAATGGACCTAAATAGACACTTTTCGAAGGAGGACAGAATGAAGACTAAGAGACATGAAAACATGCTCAGTCACTAATTATTGGAGAGATGCAAATCAAAACAACAATTCTGAATCATTTAAAACCCATGAGAATGGCTATCATCAACAAACAACAAGCACTGGCGAGGATACGAAGAAAAAGGAACTCTTTTGCACTGCTGGTGGAAATGCAGACTGGTGCAGCCACTGTGGGAAACAGTATGGAGTTTCTTTTAAAAATTAAAAATGGAACTCCCATTTGACCCAGTGATCCCACTCCTAGGAATATATCCCAAGAAACTAGAAACACCAATCAGAAAGGATATATGCACCCCTATGTTCATAGCAGCACAGTTCACCATAGCTAAGATTTGGAAACAGCCTTAGTGCCCATCAGAGGATGAGTGGATTTAGAAACTGTGGTCCACAATGGAATACTACTCTGCAGCAAAAAAGGAGTTCTTATCATTTGCAAAAGCATGGATGGAACTGGAGAGCATCATGCTAAGTGAAATAAGCCAGTCAGAAAAAGAAAAATACCACATTATCTCTCTCATTTGTGGAATATAATGAACAACAAACTGATGAGCAGGGACAGATCTAGATGCAAAGAAGCATCAGACTGCCAGACC